GTCTAGGAACCGCCTTAAGCGGTTCCGGTTCCAATTCTCATTTTTACGAAACCGATACCCGCTGGATAACCGCCGGTTCCGGTTTCAATACCGGGTACCCGGAACCGGTACCGACGGGTACCCGCCTTTTTATAAAAAAAAATATATATTTAATTTTTATATTTTGTAGCATTTGTTTTAAAAAATTAGGGTACCGATTACCTTAGTCGGATTCGTTTTTAGGGTTTATGATTTTCATTCCAAAAAAACGCCGTCTTCTCTTCTCGTCACTCTCCTCTCTCCCCTCTCCCCTCTCAAACCCATCCTTCAGTTAATCGAAGCTTCAATCGCTCCAGACTCCGGTCATCGTTCTATTCAATCCAAGCTTCAATCGAAGCATCAGTCGGCACTTCAATCTGTTCCAGGACTTGAAATTCACTCGTCTCCCTCGTCTCTCTGTCTCTCAATCGGCACTTCAGTCGAAACTTCAAGGTGACCACGTCGGCACTTCAGTCGAAACTTCTCGATTATCGATTTCTTAGGTTGTTCAACCTCCATCTGTGAATCTCGATTTGAAGGTCAGATTCGATTTTTTTTGTTGATTTTTTTGTTAATTTGTCGATTCTTTAGGTTGAATCTCGATTTCCATCTGTTAATTTTTTTGTTTTTTGTTAATTTGACGAAGGTGAGTCGTTCGATTCTTAGGCCCCGCTCACGTTGAACCCAATTGCCGACCATCGCCGACCAGCGCTGATCTGCAAGTCTCCATCTATTAAATAGGTTGTTTATGTTGGGATTCAATTTTGGTCTTTCTAGAGAACGAGTAGACTACGTAGAGTGTAACAGAGCAATATGAAAGAACTTTTATCGTGATATCAACAAAAAGAAAAGTGAAGGAACTAACCTGCAGAGGAAAGAAATCGCAGCAGTTCCTCGAGGTGATGGTTAAATTAGATGCGGGTTAAAAGCATATGCGGCGGCTGTCGATGATATCATCGTATTCGATAGAAATTACTTCGATAGAAATTACAGGAGGTAGTTGGTTGATTGAGGGTTAAAGTGTATGCTGTAGCAGCAATTTGGGATCAAAGGTGATAGCATCGATAGAGAAGACGATGGAAGTCGTTTTCTATCTGCGGTTAATTGTTATTAGCAGTGACACACTGCTAATAACAATTAACCGCAGATAGAAAACGACTTCCATCGTCTCACTGCTAATAACAATTAACCGCAGATAGAAAACGACTTCCATCGTCTTCTCTATCGATGCTATCACCTTCGATCCCAAATTGCTGATACAGCATACATTTTAACCCTCAATCAACCAACTACCTCCTGTAATTTCTATCGAATACGCTGCTACATCATCGACAGCCGCCGCATATGCTTTTAACCCGCATCTAATTTAACCTTCACCTCGAGGAACTGCTGCGATTTCTTTCCTCTGTGTGCTATATCGATACCAGGTTAGTTCCTTCATTTTTCTTTTTGTTGATTTCACGATAAAAGTTCTTTCACATTGCTCTGTTACACTCTACGCAGTCTACTCGTTCTCTGCTAGAAAGACTAAAATTGAATCCCAACATAAACAACCTATTTAAGAATCCAAGTTGATTGTGTGAGAATATCTTATAAAAGACATCTAAACTTACCAAGGTTAGATAAAGGATGCAAATTATCTCATGTTATAGTGCAATGTGAAAAAAAAAAAAAAACATTCTTTATCTTATGTTATAGTTCAGAAATCCTTGGAGTTTGACTAATTGTAAAAATAAACTATGTTGCCTGTTATAAACTATTATTTTGCTACTGTGATTCCTGTTTTCAGTAGACAAGGTATGCAAATATCTACACTTATCATTGTTGTTGATTATATTCCATTTCATGGCTACTCTTAGATCACATAATTGACATTTCTATTGACCATAAGCTCTAAAGCTAGTTTGTGATTTAGCATTCTTACAATATTTGAATCCAGAACTTCACCTTTTTATCTACTTCAAATGTCCATTTTTATTTATTAGATAAATGCGATTATAATGGTTTTATACCTTAAACTTTTTTTGAAATTAAAATGATTTAAACCCTAAACCATGAGTTCTTCAATGTGTCCAAAGTAGTCATGTAGTTAATTAATTTTTTAAAAGGAAGTATCACATGGAATTCAATATATATATCCTATACTCATAAGAAATTTTTGTCAATGTGTTTTCTTATCTTGCTCTTTGATATTGCAGTTGAGATTTGTTATTTGTTTCATGGTTATGAGAGAATTAGTTGTATTGTATCTTTATGTATTCCAAATCCTTTTAAACTATTTTATATAAATTTTTTATTTTATTTATGTAGGAGACTATAGTAGATGGAGTGGTTTCTGATATTTGTTTCTGTAGCTGTTGTATGGTTGGCTTCTCTCTGCAAAATTCTCCATTCATCATTCTATCCACACCAATCTTCCTTCTTAAATAATAATAATAATGGTTAGTGATATATAATATTTATAATACAGCAATTTATTTTTATATGTAATTATGTTGGTGTTAATGTTAATATCTTTTGTCTGAATGTATCAATCAGCTGGATCTATTCAGAAGAAAAATGTATTGTTTGTCATTGCACACCCTGATGATGAATCCATGTACTACTTTTATTTCTTTCCAATGTTTTTCTTATTATTTGAAAAATCTACCCAATTATAGCATTTGTATTTTTTTTTCTTTTTTTTTTCTTATTGATTGTAATTGGCAGGTTTTTTTCACCAACAATTAATCACCTGACTTCAAGAGGGCATAACATTCACATATTGTGCATGTCAACTGGTAACAATTTCTTAATTTTACTTTTTTTTTTTTTTTACATTACATAAATTGAGCTTTAGTTGTAAATTAATAAAGATCTATTGTACAACTATGAACATAAATCTTATATGCAAGTTTCATGTATTTGTTTTTCTTTTTGCTTAAGTGATATATTTAGCAAGTTTATTTCATCACTATTTGAAGCACAATTTTTTCATATCACTATTTTATATAAAAATAAACATTACTCAGTAAAATAAAATTTGGGCTATTTGATTGTAGGTAATGCAGATGGTATTGGAGATGTTAGAAAAGAAGAGCTTTATAAGGCTTCTGTAATCCTTAAGGTGATATAAATATATAATCTGCTTGATACTTTATTATTTTCTTTTGGGATTTTTATGAGCTTTAATTGTGTTTAAATTATAACCTTTTGTAGATAAAAAGGTTAATTGTTTCTATTAAATAATGTATAAAGTTAAAGCTACACATTGTATTTGATCATGCAGGTTCCTCTTCAACAAGTGACAACAATTGATCATCCAGATTTTCAGGTATTTTTTTTCATCTGAAAAATCATTATATGTTGTTTATATTAAATATATGAATAATATATATTTGTGTTTTTTTTTCTACAAGGATGGTTTTGGGAAAGTATGGAATAGTAGTAAACTATCAAAGATTTTGGAAAAGAAAATTCTTGCTCATGCAATTGACATGGTAAGATATAAAAATACTAAAATTTAGTATTTTTATGTTATAAGATTATGTATTTTGATAAATTCATTTTTCTTTTAATTTGTTGCAGATTATTACCTTTGATAATTATGGTGTTTCGGGTCATTGTAATCACCGTGATGTACACCAAGGAGTGCAGTAAGTCCTTTTTTTCTTTTTTATAAAAAAATTACATTTTTAATGATAGATAATAAGAATAAAAAATTGAAATTAATTGTTTTCTTTCTCCTTTATCAGAAGGTTTACACTTGATACTTCAGAACAAGACATTGAAGCATGGGAACTGGTATGTTCTTATTTCATGTATGGAATTATGAAGGTTTCGGAATGGAATGACTGATTCCATTCCGTGATGTGTTTTTTTTTTAGGTGAGTAGTAACATAGTACGAAAGTACAGTGGGCCCATTGATATATGGTTGTCTTTTTGGACTCTGAAAGGAGAAATGCATTGTTTGGTAAATGAACATCCACTTAGAAGCTATGCTGCCATGTCACAGCACCTCAGTCAATGGGTATGGTACGTATCATCATTATCTCCACCTTACTGTCCTATCTGTCAGAACAGAAGATAAAACAGGTTGTACTGTGTTTGACATGTATTGAACTGACTGGGACTGATGTTGATGGGACAAACATTAAAGTTTTTTGTCCCACCCAAAAAAATGGAACAAGTAGGTCACGGACTCATTCTCGATCTCCTATCTGTATAAAAGACGAAAATACCCTTCTCATCCTCATCATCAAAAATCGCCTAAAAAGCTCGTCCAGTCCCATACAGCCTTGTCGCTTGTAACAAACGCGGGCCGCGTTTGTTACATGTGGCACGACGGGACCGGACAAGCTTTTTAGAGCTATTTTCGATGATGAGGATGAAAAGGGTATTTTCGTCTTTTATACAAACAGGAGATCGAGAATGAGTCCTGTCCCATTGACATTGGTTCCTGTCTTCCAATTCATGTCAAGCGCAGTATAAGATCGTTTTGTATATTGTAGTCTTGTTTTATTCAATAATAATAATAAAATTTTTGAGGTAAAAAAAAAATTGTAAAATTTTCAAAGTTGATTTTGGATTTTTATTAGATGTTTAATACCAATATTTTCAGGTTTCGGAAACTTTTTGTTTCGTTTTCTAGTTATACGTATGTCAACACTTTGAGGAAGATCAACAAATGAGTAAAGGGTCAAGTTCTATGGTGTACTTCAAAAGTTACATTTGATTTTTTATTTTTTTTTAGGAAATTAATAAACTCTCTATAGGTTCATTCTCATTCGATTTGTACGATGTAGTTATGTAACATGATAGGATATAATTCTTCACATGTATTTTTAAGATTATCTCTATAGCTTCAAACCTAATATGATCATAGTTCATTTTAATGATTTTTTTTAATCATTGTATTCATGGATAATGCTTTGTTTGTATGTTTAAAATAACAAACATCGTTTATCAAATTATTATTCCCCCATGATCACCTTATCATAACTGACTTGCACGTTTAAATCACTATCAGAAGCTTGAATGTTCATGTTCCACATTGACAACAATTTTGTAAAAAAAATTGGTTCTTCAAGATTATGTTAGCTTTTGGTTCCAAATATTCACGATCAATGTTGAAACCCTTCTCTTTAGGTTAATATGGTAAATGGTGGTGAAAAGACTAAAATGTCCTCATGTAGAGGATGAGGGAGATTAACAGGAAGAAGGAGAGAGTGTCAAGTGTTATGGAGCTAGTTTAGTTTGGATTGAGGACTAAACTTGCGATGTTTTCCATAGTTTGATGGAAATCGCATTAAAAGAAACGTTAGGACCAAACATGTAATTTTGTATTCTTTATTTTAAAAAGGGTTATTTCCATAAAAGACCCTATATTCTAACTTTTTTTCTTTTTAAACCTAAATTTTTTTTCTTTTCCGAAAAAAACCCAACTTTTATGTGTTACTTGTTATTTCAGACCTAGCAGGTCACCAATAGGTAAATTAGGTATTTTTGTTTCATAAAAGACCATATATTTTGTAGTTGTTTCCATTTTAGACCTAAAATGTTTTTTTTTTTAAATAAACATTATAATCTTCAAGACCAAATATATAAGGTAGTTGTTGACTACACCGAAAAAGAAAGTATACATGTATACACTAAAAATGTTATATAATCTATTATCTTTTGAACGAATATAACCTAAAAGAATTGCAAAATTTTATTTTTGTCTAAAATGTATA